GAGTTACGTGTAATAAATAGACAAATAAATTACAGGTACACCCCTCTAACAAATGAATAAATACATAATAGTACAACAACTATATTTGTCTAATAGAAATTGACATGCTTATTTATATAGTAAGAAAATCTACATCATGCATCTAGCAAGCTGATTAAATGTTGACCACGTACAAGGATTGAAGATATTGTATGGCAATAGATGATAAGCAACTTCAGTGTTTAACTACCCCTAGTGAATTTAGAAATGATATGTCCAAGTCCAACTACTAATGAACGTTAAGGTCTAATCAAAGTAGATACCCCTACACAAACCATAATTGTCAAAAGACTCAAATGTAACTTGTAATTATGAGTTTTCGGTTACTGTTCAAAGAAATAAATAAGACTATATTTTTTCCCGGATAAATTAATAACAATGGATTACCAGTATTTGTTGCAAAGCATTATATACTTAATTATCCCAATATTAAGAAACCTCAGCCAGGACAAGATATTAGAAGACATATAAACCAAGATCAGGTGACTTTGGGCATACAGGGAAAGAATAACCCTGACTGCGACAAGGGAAGAGAGTTGGACTATTTAACATATATATCCCTTCTACTGGGTCTGTCTAAGACAAAATTCATGAATATAACAGACACAGCTAAAAGTTGTAAATGACACCAGGAGCTTAAGGGAACAAGACAACCTCAGGAACCTGACAATCAAAAAAGGCAAACAAGTGAACAACTGTAGAATCCCTCCAATGGGAAACAAGGGATCACAGATGATGTATTATTTACTGTTTATCTATTCTACCAAGGCATCTGATTTCTATATTTCAGGTACTTTGATCAATAGTATTAACAAAAAAATTTTCCTACTTTGTACATGGTAATATGGTATTGGAGGGTAGCCACTGAACCCTGAAAACTAACATTCACTGAAGTTCATGGTCAACGGCAGCAACTTACTGCCTAGTGGTCCAAATCAGGTGGTACTGGCGTGCCTGCATCAGCAGCCTTCTGCAAACTTGTACCTACCTCAGCTCCAGACAAACCGTAATGTTCCCTGATCTCCATGGCTGATGCTGCTGACAACCTGACCTATGAACTCAGACGGGCCCATTTTCCTGTCTTTCTGCCAAGGACCCTTCTTCAGGGGTCTGATCTGTTTTCACCAGCAGCAAACTTCTATGAACCCTATTGACCAAGGCATATGGTTAGACAACATCTAACTCTAGATCTACTCTGGCAAGTTTCTGGAATCAGCTCACCTGCTGGTACTTTTCTTCATTTCTTGGAATAAATTTGGGAATTCCTATTTGTGTGCCATTTAAGTCTGATAAAGATTCTCAGAGTTCAGGATTGGGTTTCATGACAATTTGGTTCAGTTGGCTCTGTCCTGTATATCCCAAATAGGTAGCCTTGGCTCTACGCCTTACACCTTGAATCACAAGACATCCAAATGATTTGGCCTCCAACCAGGGCTTGTAGTCCAGACAGTAACTTGGTAGGCTTGTTGTGCATGTGTAGTTACAGAAATGTGTATAACCCCCAAGGACCCAACTAGTTTTGGTAAAAGAGCTTGTGTTGTCTTTTCAAAAGAAAGAATGTAAAACTTGATTTTTAAGTCTGCTCCAGTTTGGTTTTTAACCAAAAAATAACTTGCACTGGTATAAGCACATACAGGAAGACAAGTTTCAATTTGTACCATTTAGTGAACTAGTTTCAAGGTGATAATGTGGATATAGGCGTATAGCTTCGGGGAGGAAGTAAGTTGAATGATCTATTGATTTGTCGGCAGAGTTGGAGAAGATGTTGGCTTTCATATACGTTAATCAGAATAAAGGCCAGCACAAAAGTTACCAGCATCAGCTGTCCCAGGTTATCTGAAACACAGTACACAACCTTATCCACACTAGCTAAGAGGCTATATTTATGAACTATATCGCAACTGAATGGAGCAACCATACATTGGCTTGAGGCATGCAAACATGACATCAAATACAAGACCTAATAGGAAAATATAACCAAGTTCAGAATACCTACCAAAGGGTCAATGGCCTGTACCTGGGTTACCGGTAGAGCCCAGCCTCCCAGGAGGTCAAGGGTTCAAAACTCACCAAAGGTGAGGAGGTGAGTGTGAGTACTTGCCGTATATAAATATTATATACTTCAAAAGATATTAAAATACCTCCGATCAGGCCCAGCCCCTGATGCAACTGTATCGCTCACAGTGAGGATAGCAACCTTATACGTGGAGCATACAGGCGCATCAGCATTTACTTTCATCGCCATGGTAGCTTGTGTAACAGTCTCTAGCTCTGATGATGATAAATCCTTCCACAGAGCAAACCCACCTGTGTCAGAAATTAATATTGCTGATACTGGAGTTCCAGAAGGTATTTCTCTTCCTGACGGTGGCAATTCTAACAATGCATTTGCTGACTTCATACTTAGGAGTCGACTACTCATTTGATGACCAGTACTCTCGGCTACAAATCTGCAGTTTTAGTTGAATAACACAGAAAAAATTAGCTCGGTTTTTTTTCTCGATTTGACTAATCAATTTATCATAGATATGAAAGGATAGAGCAATCAGCAATTCCTTAATAAGGTCTTCCACAGAAAGATCACAGCACAATGCTCATACTACTTGAATATACACCAAAAGCAATACCCTGGAAAGCCAAATCCAGCATTGTTCTCCCATCTAATACTGGCACGATGAAACTCTCTCCGGACTGGATCTGTCTTGATGGACTGTTTAAGATAAGCATGCACTCTGCAGCAGGTTTAACATCAGAATCCACCGTTGCACGATCAGATGCCAACCATAGCATGCATTGTTACCAAATATGATATCAAATAAACTAGGCAGGAAGAACACCTTGGAAGATGTGGTTTTGTCCATCCAGAGAGATTACGAATTGATGGAATGACAAAGAGGTTGAAACAGACCAAACAACTAACTGGATTTCCAGGTAATCCAAATGCAAGAATTCTTTTCACCTTCTCTGCTGATTGAGTTGTGATTTCTGCAAATGTAAGAGGCTTTCCGGGCTTCATACTAATCTGCATCAAAGTTATTTCACATCACTGCCATTTATTACTTTCTAACTCACAAGATATCAGCCCAATCAAAAACTTCAAGAAGTGACAAGAAAGATGAATCGAATAATGATTTATTGTCTATCCTTTGATTATACAAGGCCCTATATATAGGGTATTTACAAGAGATAAAGGGAAACTAAATCAAGGAAATCAAGGAAAAGATAGAGAAAAGATAACGATAAAGAATGTAACAATATCCCATAATTATAGATACTATATTCCATAATTACAGGGATTCCTCCTAATCTATAATATGTAAACTATATTCCATAATTATAGGAATTCCTCCTAATTTATAATATGTACATTTCGACACTCCCCCTCAAGCTGAGGAACAGATGTCTTCCATTCCCAACTTGGAAATAAGATCATGAAAACTTGAACAGTTTAGGCCTTTTGTTAGAACATCAGCTAGTTGACTCTTTGAGGGCATAAAGCACATGCACACTAATCCTCGTTCCAGTTTCTCCTTAATGAAATGCTGATCTATTTCAATATGCTTTGTCCTATCATGTTGAATGGGATTACGAGCAATATTGATAGCAGACCTGTTATCACAATAGAGCTTCATAGGACCTTCCCATTTGATTTGTAAATCATTTATAATAATTTTCAACCATAATAACTCACATAATTCGTGAGAAATGGCCCTAAACTTTGATTCTACAGAAGACCTTGCCACCACATTTTGCTTCTTTCTTCTCCATGTCACTAGATTACCTCCAAGGAAAATGCAATATCATGCGTTGATCTATAATCCAATCTAGAACCAGCGTAATCAGCATCTGTGTAGGCTTCGAGAGTAAGAGTTTCATTCTTCTTAAATAGAATGCCCTTCCCTGGATTACCTTTCAAGTAATGCACTATAGGATGCTTGAAGATGAGGTTCTCTTGGATTGTGTATGAACTAACTAATTACACTCACCGAGTAAGCTATGTTTGGCCGAGTGTGAGCAAGATATATCAATCTGCCATGCCAACCAGCCTCTGGTACATTCTCTGGTCAACCGTCGGTGCTTCTTTAGCTCCACCCAACTTATGGTTCTGGTCAATTGGTGTAGATATCGGCTTACATCCACTCTTTCATGTTTCTACCAATAAATCGGTCACATACTTCTATTGAGATATGAAGATCCCTTACTTGGAGTATGTCACCTCAATTCCTAGGAAGTATTTAAGTCTTCCTAATTCTTTTTCTTGAATTCTTTCATCAACCTTTCCTTTAATTCCATCTTTTGCCTCTCATTATTTCCTGTACCTATGATGTCATCCATATAGACAAGGAGAGCAGTTACTCCCCCTGTGGACAAGGGCTTAATGAAGAGAGTGTGATCCCCTTGACTTTGTTTATACCCAGACTCCTTCATGGCTTTTGCAAATCTCCCAAACCATGTCCTAGGAGATTGTTTCAACCCGTTGAGTGCTTTTCTTAGCTTGCACACCTTATTACTCTTGCCAGCATTGAAACCTGGGGGAATTCTCATGTATATTTCTTCATTTATATCTCCATGAAGAAAGGCATTCTTTACATCATACTGCAAAAGTTTCCAGCCTAGGTTAGTAGCTAATGATAATAGAATTCTTAAAGTGTTCATCTTTGCAACAAGAGCAAATGTTTTTAGGTAGTCAACCCCATAAGTTTGTGTGTATCCTTTGGCCACTACCTTGCCTTATATCTCTCAAGGGATCCATCAGCGTTGTATTTTGTTGTAAAGATCCGTTTACAATCAACAATGTTTTTTCCTTTCGACTTATCAACAATCTCCCATGTTTCATTCTTTTCTAATGCACTCATTTCCTCCTTCATAGCATCCCTCCATTCCCTTTTTGATAATGCCTTAGAAACATTGGTAGGGATAAAAATGGTATTTAGGATCATAACGAACTTTTTGTGGGTTGGGGATAGGAGTTCAAGAGAGATGTAGTGAGATAATGGATACGATGGTCGTTTAGAGCATTCTCTAGTCCCTTTTCTTTTGGCAATATGTAGATCATCTTCGGTATCGGTGGAAGCATGTTGTGTGTGCAAAGGTGGATCAGATCTTACCATGTTCTCATTCCAAGGACCTGAGTCGTAGTTTTGGACATGTGTTGGCGTAGGAACGACCTTTCTTCTTGTGTACACTTGAGGAGGCTTTGGAGAATTGCTGGAGACACCGACCTTACTAGGGTTTGAATCAGGTTCATCTGGCTCATTGGATGGTTCAAGTTCATTTAGAGGGGTGGATGACTCGGAGTCGGATGCGACTTGTTCCTCCTGTACCGACTCTAATGTGGAGTCAACACTACGAGTTAGGAGGTCAAGTTTTTTTAACGGTTCAAAAGTTTCCCAAGGACTATCTTCCATAATTGAATTCTCCCCCAGAAGAGAGGAGTTGGAGGATAAAGGTTTGTTTTATGTGAAAGTGACATCAACAGAAATGTAGAATTTGTGGGATGAGGATCGTAGCATTTGTGCCCTTTTTGAGTGGATGAGTAACCAAGGAAGACACACTTAATGGCCGAGGGTCTAGCTTGCTTTTGTGTCGGTTGTGGATGTGTACAAAGGCAGTGCACCCAAAAATCTTGGGTGTGAGACCATTTGATGTTCTGAAGTGAGGGTAGAAGTCATTAAGGAGTTCCATGGGAGTTTTATTTCCCAATGTACGTGAAGGAAGCCTGTTTATCATGTGTGTGGAAGTAAGGACAACTTCCCACCAATAGGATTTAGGAATATTTCCCAAGAAAAGCAATGCTCGGGTAGTGTTAAGTAAATGACCATTTTTCCTTTCAACTACCCCATTTTGTTGGGGTGTGTTAACACATGAAGAATCATGGATAATGTCTTGTGATTGAAAGTAGGGGGATAAAATTTGGTTGAAATAGTCTTTGCCATTGTTGGTCCTAAAACTCTTTATTTTGACCCCAAACTGGTTTTGAATCATTGAGTGGAAGTTAGGTTTAACAGTGCTAACTTTAAATTTGTGTTTAAGGAGGAAGAGCCATAAAACCCGAGTGCAATCATCAATCAGGGATACAAACCGAGCCCCAGACACATTAGGTATGTTAGAAGGTCCCCATATGTCACTATGAATTAACTGGAATGGAAGAGAGGCCCTTTTATTACTCATAGGAAAAGAAACACGAGTATATTTGGCCAATTCACAAATATCACGATGAAACTCATAAATATCTAATCCTTCAAATAAATGAGGAAACATGACATTTAAAACTCTAAAGGATGGGTGACCTGGATGCAGGTGATACAACCAGACTGTATTTTTATTAAATGAACTGAGAAAGGATGAAGGTGGAATGTTGCTTTTTTGGGAAGATTCAAGACGATAAAGGCCATTCCTTTCCTTAGCAAGTCCAATCCTCTTCCTCGAGTCTTCTTCCTGAAAAACACAATATGAAGAGGAAAAAATAGCACAACATTTAAGATCATGGGTGAGTTTTGGATTCAAACAAGGCTAGCTAATAGTTTTGGTACATGTAAGACATTTTTTAAGACAAGGTTGGGTGTGATATGTATATCTCCAAAGCCTGCAACAGTTGCTAATGAGCCATTGGCTACTGTAATCTTTCGGTTGCTAGGGATGGAGTGTAATTACGAAAAAAATTGGAAGAAGGTGTCATATGATCAGTGGCACCGAAATCTATTATCCATGAGTTGACAAGATTACTCGAGGCATTCATACAAAAAGGAAAAGGTGGTTTACTTGAAAGAGTTAAAGAGCAAGTTCCTGATGACTTTTCGAGAGAACGCAAAAAATTCTTTAACCTCTCAATTTCTTCATTGCTGAACTCTTCTCTTGCTGAATTCTCCTCCGGTTTGGATTGCTCAATAATGTGTGCTTGAGATCTCTGTTGCCTTCATTGAGTTTTTTGTCCCCCCCCCCAATGGGTTCCCCATTCACGACTCTGTTGTCCACCACGGTTTTCCCCATTCTCTGCTAGGTTTTCCCATTTAATTTCCAGCACTGTTCTTTTGAGTGTCTTGGTTTATTGCATTAAGTGCACCAAAGACTATCTCTGTTCTCCTGAGTTTCTTTAGCCCCGAACTTAGACAGATCTCTCTTCTCCTCTTGTTGATTGGTCCTCGTAGCTAGGGTTGATCCGTCGATAGCTTGTGGTTCAAGCATGACATTCCTCCTGCTTTCTTCTATTCTGATCAAAGAGATCACTTCTTCAAGTGATGGTATGTCTTCTTTGCCAAGTATTTGAATCCTGACTTGATCAAATTCAGGATTTAAACCAGCCAAAAAATCATAGACTCGGTCTTTTTCAATGAAACTTTTGAAGACAGTTGCATCTGTAGGGCATTTCATCTCAAAAACTCGATGATGATCAAGTTCCTCCCACAGATTTTGCAATATATTTATATTCAGTGACATATTTGTTTCCTTGCTTTGTGGCTGAGGTTTTAACCGTGATCTGGTATACTTGAGCCACATCATGAGCCTTTGAATAAGTGCGACGAACAAACTCCCATATCTCTTTTGCAGTGGAGAGAAACATGCATGTCACTGATCATTGGTCCATAGATTCTCATAACCATGACATCATTATGGAATCTTCCACGTCCCAAGTTCCAAATGTTAGATCATCTATAGTAGAACCTGCTTCAATGAGGTATTTGAGCCTCCCTTTGCCCTTCAGGTATGTTCGGACAAATTGAGACCACTTGAGATAGTTTTGTCATCGAGTCTATAGGGTGCCCGAATATTCTGCAGATCTCCAATTTTTTGGACATAATTGGACTCATAGGAGGATTTAACAATGGTGGTGTGATTATTTGTGGGTTTTGTCATGATGAAGGAAAAGGGATTGCAAAAGAGAATAAAAAGAAGGTCGTTCAATCAAAGGAAATACAACAATTAAGGTTGTTCGATCAGAAACACTTGCAACGATGAAGGTTGCACACTAGGAAGAGCAATTAAGGTTGAAATAAAATAGAACAAGGGTTTTAGATTTCTGAGAGAAACCTAAAGCTCTGATACCATGACAAGAAAGATGAATTGAATAATGAATTGATGTCTATCCTTTGACTATACAAGGCCCTATATATAGGGTATTTTACAAGAGAGAAGGGGAAACTAAATCAAGGAAAGATACATAAAAGATAACGATAAAGAAGGTAACGATATCCCAAAATTATAGAAACTATATTCCATAGTTATAGAGATTCCTCCTAATCTATAATATGTACATTTCAACAAGAATAGATAATAACAAACAAGCAAGTTGAATGTGAAAAAAAAAGAAGATAAGAACTACCACAAGCTTTGATTCCATTGGACATACCCCATCTCATGAAAAAGAAATTCAGTCAAAAACAAAACAGCCAGATGAGCACAAAAGAAAGAGGAACCCAGAGCTTACCTTATCAAAATACACACTGCCTCTATTTTGAAGAAAGGGTTTGACGAAATCCCTGTCTCCCATAGAAACACCACCAGAAGTCAGAAGTATATCGATATCCGCTGACAGTGCTTTATCCAAAACAGTCCTGATTTCATCCTCATCATCACGGGCAATACCAAGGTCGATAACTTTACACTTCTGCTGTATTGCAGAAGCAACAATCATTGCCCGGTTGGAGTCCCTAATCTGAAAACCAAAAGCCGTCAAGATATAAAGTTAGCATAAAACTGACATATGAGGTATATGCACATACATAGATCTGATGCATAGACATGTTGTGCTACAAGAACTATCACTGCAAACTATTAAATCTCTAGTTTTTTTCACAGTGCTTATGGTTAGGGAAGCATTATCCAAGTGATGCTATTTTATTAACCATGCTTGATTATGTTCGAAGGGTAATATTTTTATGCCTCTAGCTATAATAGTAATTGAGAATCTATACCAACTGTACAGCAGGAAGCTATATTGATGCTAGCTGAACAAAAATATCCATAAGAGAACATGCGACCAAGAAAGATTAAATGCATAGAAAAACAATATTTTCTATATGAATTATGTGGTTCTACGTGAAACAAGAGCAAATAAATGTCAGTAGCAAATAAAGTAAAACTAGAAGCAAAAAGCTGAACAACACAAAATTAATTCTGACTTCAGAGATCTAAATAACTAGTGATAAGGTTAACCTTTTAAAATCTTGAAAAGCTTCTTTAAATACTTGTGAAAACAAACAAATAATGCAGGCCACCCAGATTATGATGTGAATCACAAAAGAAGATAAGAAGGAAGTAGGTGCAGTGGCACAAACTGGTTTGGCACGACCACAAGATCCCAAAGCATTCTTTCATTCTGTGGCTGGCCATGCAGAATCAGCTAACAACTCAAGAGAAAATGTGTTTGGAATCACCAACTACCGGACTTACATTGCCCCCTCTACAAAGGAGAACCCGATAGTCAGGAGCATCTATTCTTCACATGTCCCGTCTCGAACCCAGTCTGGACCGTGATGAAAAGGGTGGCCAGGATGGATGATATAGGAAACCAATGGCAGATGGTGGTGGACCCAATGTAACAGCGTACTATGTAATGCTGTTGTCAAAGTTATGCAGTAACTGGTACTTGGGGCAATTCTCTACCACATATGGCAAGAACATAGCCAGAGATTATTCAACAAGAAGTCACAAACAACAGATGAGATCAGTGAGCCTCCTCAAAGGAGTTATGTGAGCTAAAGCCTTTCATGAGCCAGAAGATGGTCCTGATGAAGGTCAAGAACAATAACTATCTTGGCCTTTTGCATGGATATCTCCCTAACAAAACAGGGTGCATGCAAGATGACTACAGTGGCAACAGCTGTAAGAAGAACCCGCAAAAGAGTATGTGCGGGAGGAAGGGGTAACATGGTACAATGCTCAACAACCACAAGAAGGCAGGCAGTTGGCAGCAGCAAAAGAATTGGACATCACGGTGGCCCAAGCTAATGACGAGAGATGGCATTCTTTATTGCATGGCTATGATTCTTTCTTTATGGCTTTTAGTTTCATGGTATGGAGTTTAATCCAACCATATTTGTGTAGTGCACCATATTAACTTTGGGGCTTGTCCCAAAACGTTGAATGGACATGCTTGCGGGTGGAAGTTCCAATCTAGGTGTATTCATTTATTTTTTCCAACAAAATTTGCCAAAGGTACCGTCTTTTCAAAAAAGAAAAGAAGAAAGTGTTTGTCCAATATTCCTCAAACTACAAAGATAGACCACACAGACGACGTTATGTATATGTCGACCCTCCAACGGTCCCAAATAGAGGATGGACATGACTTGTGCACTCATCCTAATGTGTTTTGTTCTTATACATAACTGACCTGTAATGCTCTGGAGATGCAAGCAGCACTTACTTGGAATGGAAGGATCACAAAACAATCATGTCAAAGAAATAGATGAAGGCATTAATACATGCTATATTCCTTAACATGTACTCCATATTAATTAACTTTGTTTTTAATTATTAGTTTTTGCGTTCATTTTTCATGCGATGCTTACTCTGCTACACATTCTTCTAGTGATGTAATTTGAATTTTTTTCCCTGGTCTATTAGTTCTACATACAGTTATTGATTTTCGATAACATTTAATTCAGTATCTACGCTTTCTCAAAACCATGCCTAGTGAGGCTCCTGAAGTTATAGGGCTATTTTCATGAGTTCCTTCGAGAGAGTTGCCTCGTGCCCCTAGGTATTCTCTATTTTAGAGCAAAACTTGTGAAGTGATGATAATTGATTCTTCATTGGGGATCATCACATGAAACCAAACTCCTAGATAAGAAGTATAGGTTCCAATTGAATTTAATGACAAGTTGGCATAGCAGATCAAATTATAAGTGTTTACTACCTGTCCACGACTTAAGGGCTCGCCTGTTGGCTCTACCAACTCATCTCCTGTGGAAAGTACAGCAATGGTCGGAGTAGGATATACCTGCATTATAACATTGGCAATTAGCCATTTGGACATTGTTCCACACAAGTCAGTAAACAATCTGCTCAAAGAGAACTAATACCTTCACCGTCAAAACACCCACTGTAGCAAGTAACCCAATTTCTGCCACACCCAGTAGGTCTTCAGCTTTCAATACTACAGCATCTTTGGTTATGTCACATCCCTGTGAAACGATGTTTTTATGAGCTTTTCCTTTTTAACACGTTTTCGCATGAGCATATTGCAAAGCCATTTAAGATCTTCTGGAGAACCCGGTTATGAATTGCTACTCCAGATCATCCACCAATGTTGGAAGTGTGTACTAATCAGAAGAGTGCCATCACCATGAGCGCAACCAGGCAAGGCATGAGATGCAGGATGCATACTATCAATCCTTGGCAAGCAGTTACCCGATGGTTCTGCAAGGCCTTAGTGTAACACCCTAGTCTCTATATTTTTAGGTTTCAACATTTTAAGCCTTAAACACAAGTACTATAATTAAATTAATGCACTAAAAAGGCTCCAGCAGCATTAGCATCTTTAAAATTTAAATCATATTTTAAATGACAAGTAGCTTACAAGTACTTGGCAAAGCATGAGAAATCAAACCTAAATACTTGACAAAGAAAGCTATTCTGAGTTGCTAAGGCTAGAAGTATGTGTTGGCGCAAAGTTATTGACGACAAAGCAAGTCTAATAAGAATGACAAAGCAAATCTAGTAAGCATGACAAAGCAAGCTAGTTATGAGTTGTCAAGACTAGAAGCATGTGTTGGCAATATTATTAATGACAAAGCAAGTGTATTAAACATGACAAAGAAAAGCTAGAAGCATGATGTGTCAAGATTTTGTTATCTTAAGCAAGAGGTGTTGAACTCTCATAAGAGTTCAACCATGAGAGCAAGAAGAACAAGTAGTTAATGCATTGTAATCACCTATAATAGTGGTTGAAATGAAACCATTTTTTTCCATACTAAAGGAAAAGACTCCCAATATGAGAAATCAAAAGAAGAACTAAGCGTAAAACAAAATGAGTACTTTGTGTCATTTACTGAGATACAAATATGCTATATAAATGTATTTTATGCATTATGACGAATTTGATAATATGTTTTGGCATGTTTGCTTTACATGAAATAAGGATAGGTTATAGCCAAGATATCTATATATATATATATATATATATATGATGGCATGTTATGATGTGTTTTACACACAAGACATGAAAGTGGTTATGCAAGTTATGTATGACCACAAATATCCAACGTACGGGATATTACATGAAGGGACATCTTGCAAACGGACCTTATGGGGGCAGCCTTTATGGACCCTGGGGTTAGCAAACCTCAAGGCAAGTACGGCATACTTACATGTTGCAAGTGAGATCTCAAAAGAGTATTTTTATGCATGATAAAAAAAAATAGTGAACTGTTATCCACAAATTGATAAGTATTATGAAAATTGTTTATTCATGAAACCATAACTACTCACTAAAGCTTAAAGCTTACGTATTCCACGTATGTATCTCAGGAAAGAAGTAAAGAGGGATAGCATGAAGAAGTGCTATTCTAATCAATAGCAAATTTTGTTGTATTATAAGTTATTGAGTTACGTTTTCGTTGATGTTTCAACTATGATGTAATAGTAAGACATGAAAGTAATAAAGTTAAAATTAGTTCACATACAAGACTTAGGAGTATCAAAAGAAAGTAACGGCAATCATTTAGAATTTGGGGCATTACACAGGTTATAGGAGTGGCATAGATGTCAGATGCTCAAAGAGTACAAATATCACCATCACTAACCTTCAATTTTGGAAGATACTTGCCCAAATGATTATTCTTAGTCTTTCTTTTGTATCTAACTAAATATCGACATTTATCTAGTTATGTGGTTCGACATAATTGGTACTTTCTTTTATCTGCTTGCATGCTAAAACAAGAAGTGCATGTAGTTCCTTCATGTGATTTACCATCATCCCATCCATACTTTATTCCCTAATTATATTGTAGAATGGAATCATCACTCACTAATCAAGAAAAAATTGACATTGACCTCAATACTGGCACCAAGAGAGGCCAATGATGGAACACGATAGGAGACATAGGCCTTGAAGACCTCTTATGCTCAAAGAATTGCTCCTAAAAACCTAAAGACCTCTTGCATTTCACTAGTATAAATGTAGAAACTTTTATGCCCAAGTTAATCTACTTTAGTCTTTTAGGGGGTGTGTTTGTTAATTGGTATGTAGAAGGGACAGGACAAGACATGACAGACAAGAGTGAGGTGGGTAGGTGAAAGAATTGTGCAAGGTTTTTAGAATTTTAATCTAATATGGGTAATTTAATAATTTACCAATCTCGTCCATCTACGTGATTTTTGTTTTGGTTACTTTGGTGGGGCAAAAAAATGTAATTTTGTCCCACTCGGTCCTGTCTTGTCCCGGTCTTAACGTTGCACCAAATGTGGCAGAACAAGTTTTGTGTTCTGTCTTGTCCACGTACCAAACGCACCTTAAAAGGTTCTAGATAGTTCCCATATTATCTCTCTAATACCATGTTTGATCTTTGCCTCTAGTTGCAAAGAAAAAGTTAATACTTATGGCCTTTGATTCTTAAGAATTGTCGTTCTCTGATAAGGAAACATATTTAATAGAGAATTATAATTGTAACAAGAAACAGCTTATTACCACAGGACGAATATCAACCCCCTTGTTGGTTTTCACCAAAATGCGTACTATCTTCGATTCAGATGATGCACCTTCTACTAGTTGAGTATCCTCTACTTGCACAACTGCATCAGCTCCATCAGGTATTGGTCCTGAGAGAGCAGGAAAAATACATGTTTGGCACAAACAAACAATAAAATCTATGCTCTCTTTTCTGAGTTTGTAAATCTTCTCAATATTGACAAATTTAATTACTGGTTGAAGAAGGATTTTTTTCTCAATTTCCAATTGTATATGTGTATTACAGTATTAGACATGTTTAATTAAGTTGAACAACTATTGATAGCCATATTTGTAAATAATGAAGAAGGAAACAGTATTCTAGCACATACAGTCATCAGCTATCCAGTAAGCCTACCAAAAGAAAAGCTAGAGCTCAAGTTTCAAAACAAGCAAACAGGTTGGTCATGTTCAATATATACGCTCCAACTTGGGAGCATTAAGATATAGATGTGTCTACAAGTTACTTTTTATTTAGAGCTTTATTTCATGCCATCTACTTCAACCCTTGTAACCTACACAGAGACACACACGTTGACAGCTTTTGGGTGATTAATAAAATTACGAGAATATCTTGTTTTAACCTCTTAACAGATGGAAACTAGAGTGGAAGTTACCATATGGCAGTAAGGATCAATGTAACTAAATTCTTATAGGCATATACAATCATGTTAGACATATTTGTCCTTTTTACGCTTTTAACAACAGATGTTGGTCCAACTTCGCAACACAAACAACCAATAATCGAAGGTTTGACAACTCAAAAAGCAATCCATAAAGTAAAGCAACCATGTTTGGTAATAGCAAGGGATACACGTTTCTAATCTCAGTTGAGCTTTTTCTTTAGTAAAGTGGAAGACCCAGTAAATGAAAGTGTTATATGTTTACTTGAATCACACCAAGTTATAAATTTATTCTGGATGCAGGATTTCATTTCTTATTCTCAAATAATTAAGAAGATCTAATTTGTAAGGACAATTAAATCATCAGTGCCATTCATGTGATAAGAACTATATAAAAGTAAACTTGTACCAGAACTTTGTTCTTTTTTTAACATATTGTTTTTAACATCAAGGTTGAAATACAAAAGTTTAGCATGTGTTATATGTTGTCATATCAGAACAGTTAATAATATTTGATCTGTAAAAACACATTTCCAGACAAATATCAGAGCAACCATGAACGATCTAATTTAAAAAAGTTTGTGATGCCTGTTATAGGTCATTGCAATTTGTTCCAGGAATCAAGACTATACAAAAGATGACAATATTCATGGACACACAGAGATATAGTGGTTCACCTCCAGTTGTAACATATGCAACAGTTCCAGGAGTCACTGTCACACCAAGACCGTCATTCCCTGCTCTTGATTCTGTAATGATGGGATACTCACCAGGACCATCTGCGGCAATTACAGCATATCCGTCCTAAAAAGTTTAACATAGCGCATCACCATGAGATTAAAAAAAATCAGTGCATAAACTCTAGATCACTAGTATATCCACATTATAGTATGCATAACATGGAAACAAAAATGTATGTAACAGGCATGTCGGCCAAGGCTCCAACAACTATAAAATATCATTCAACCTCAAACAAAATCCATCATAATCCAATTGTCGTGAACACAATTACATGTCCCTACTTCAATAATGCATAAATTAATCAAGGATCTCAAAGAGCTGTGAATGAGTATTCAAAACAAGGATTTTCATCAGCTGATAAACCCTTCATTGAGACTTACTGATAAAGGGTTAAAATTCCATTGATTGGAATTCCAGTTACAAGTAAATTTGACAATGTGCTCCCTCAACAAAAATAAACCACACACTTCACTTTCTGCTCCCTTCACAAGAAGTCAAAAGGTACCTGTGTAGATTTTATATTCCCTCTGTTCCAAAAATTGGAGACCAAGTTTCACTTTTGAGTGTCCAATTGAGTGTATACTCTTAACTTCACATTTGAAACTAATCATTTTCTATGAGTAAATTAAATGGATAACTAACAACATGAACCATGCAAGTATTACGTATGAATAAAGCAAACATATCGTCAAATTCGAATTTGAAGACAAAATGAGGGACTTTCTCCCTAGAAGGTATTGAGTATCATAACTACAAATCGCCATGAATCTCCCATAATACCTTACTTAAACAAAAACCAAATCCGCGAAGGGTGCCCTAATGGCAAATATTATATGTGAAAGACCCAGATGGGTCTGCAGATTTTAGTTTGTGTGGAGTGGACTAGAAAGACTAAATGTGTTGATAAACAAAAACCAGTCATTATCAGAACTAACTGAATAAAACAGGAAGACTAAAAACTACTAGTCAAGCCTTCAATTCACAAAGGAAGTGAAATGTAGACACAAATTATGTGTCTTGAGTGTCTAAAACTTGTTTGAAGTTCCATTGATGGAAGCAGGATAGGGATCATTTTTGTATAGAGAACAAGATAATTGTGAGTCAACAATTAGATGGTTCACATACATATATATAGGGTACCGTATATATATAGTTGTGACAGTTAAGTT